CCCCTTGTAGAGAGTACTTGTCTCTCTCGCGCTCTCTCTCCTCTCTCCCCTCTCCCTCTCTCCCTCTCTCCTCACCTTGACAGTCTCTGGTTCACTGATTTACTCGTCACAAAATGGACCGTCGTCCTTCAAGCTCCACACACCCGACCCTCCACCGTGTACTACTTAAAAATGCACTCGAATCCTGAACTGTATAAACTTCCCAAGGATTCACATATCTGCTCTCTATAGAAGGGACCACACACACACACACACACACACACACACACACACACGAGAGACGAAACTAATAATAAGGCAAACAGAGTATTGTTTTATATCTAGAAGTGTAAGTAATAAGAGTGCAGAGGTCTTATTGAAACTATATCTTGCGCTAGTCAAGCCGCATTTCAATTATGCGGTTCAGTTCTGGTGCCCTTATTATAGAATGGATATCAATTCACTAGAGTCAGTAAGCGAAGAATGACGAAAATGATTCCGGGACTTAGAATCCTCCATATCAGGATAGGTTAAAGAAACTTGACTTGCCTTCCTAGAAAGACGAGAAGAGCGGGGAGATATGATAGAAGTATTTAAGTGGGTGAAAGGAATCAATATAGGGGATATAGATAAAGTTCTTATAATATCCGAGCAGGATAGGACTCGTAGCAACAGATTTAAGTTGGATAAGTTTAGGTTTAGGAGGAGATAGGAAGGAACTGGTTCACAAATAGGGTGGTGGACGAGGAACAAGCTTAGCAACTTTGTAGTAAGTGCTGGAACGCTGGAAAGTTTCAAAGGAGGCTAGATACATTCATGGATGATAGAGTGGTAGTAACTCTCGACAGGCTGCCGTGCACAGGCCAACCGGCCTACTGCAGACCCTTATTTTCTTATGTTCTGTGAGAGGGGAGGAGGATAGGGTGGGAGAGAGCGAGAAATGATGAGGAGGAGAGAAAAGGAGAAGATTTAGATTTCAGATTAACTCCGAGCGGAGGCTAATTTATTCCGGGGGTTAGGATGAGGGTTAGATGGCCTCTGACCTGACTGGTCGACCTACCGGAAGGAGAAGGAGGCAGCGCCTACACTTTACCTGACCTGACCTGACCTCTCTCTCACCACACAAAGACCACCCTCTCTCCCCCACCCATTTTCTCACCCATCCACCCACATCCCTTCCACTAACACCCTACCCCTCATCACCCCTCCTCACCCAACCCACTAGCATTAAGCTGCCTCAAGGGGGGTCAAAGTTCAAGCTAGTTTTTATGCCTTGGTCTACAGGGAGGAGGTCAGGCACATAATGCCAAGCGTCCTTAATAGCCTACAGGACTGTAAGTGTACGGGCGCTATAGTGAGTCATGAGTATCCTGTAGAAATCGGGGTGGGTTAAAATCTGATTTCCCTTTACAAAAATCGGTGTGGTTTTTAACGTGATTTATAGGGTTTAAATCGGATTCTAAATTCGGGGTGGGTAATCGGATTCCCATTTAGAAATTGAGGTGGGTTAAAATATGATTCCCCTTTAGAAATCGGCGTGGGTTGGATTCCCCCTTTAGAAATTTGGGTGCGTTTAAATCTGATTCACCTGTGAAATTGGGGTGGGTTGAATCTGTTAAGACCCCACTCAGCTGAGAGCGACCCACAGATGAGAGAAACCCACCCAGATGAATGAGACCCACCAAGATGAGAGAGTTCCCACCCAAGTGAGAGAGAGAACCCATCCAGCTGAGAGCGACCCACCCAGATGAGAGAAACCCACCCAGATGAATGAGACCCACCAAGATGAGAGAGTTCCCACCCAGAGAGAGAACCCATCCAGCTGAGAGCGACCCACCCAGAAGAGAGAACCCACCCAGATGAATGAGACCCACCAAGATGAGAGAGTTCCCACCCAAGTGAGAGAGAGAACCCACCCAACTGAGAGAACCCACCCAGCTGTGACAGAGAACCCATCCAGTTGAGATACCCACCCAGATAGGCGAACCCACCAACTGAGAGAGAGAGAGAACTATCAACACCATTACAGACTAAAGCCTCAAATACAGGTAAAATACAGCAATACAGTCCGTGACTGTATCATGAAGTGAATACAGTATACCTTTACTTACACGAAAACATCAATTAATAACTAATTAACCTTTTATCATAGGTGTCGGGGGGGGCGTGTGCAGTGTTAATGATCCAGGTACAACACGTCGTTAAATATGTTAAGTGGTGTTTGATGGCGAATTGAAATAAAATATGGCGATTACATGAAAGTAAGTGCCAACGACGCCACATTCACCCACCATACTCCCCACCTCTCCCCAATTTGGACTATTTTCAACCAATTTCTATTTACTCCCCACACTTAAGACAACAAATTTACACTGAACAGAATTATTTTGACATATTGACATCCAAAGTGAGTTGAAATTAGTGAAAATAGTGGGATTTTTATCGTACGTTTGGCACCGATGGTAAGTGCATGAAAGTCCCAAGTATGTTGAGACAATACGGGGAAATATTTAGGAGATATGGCTTGGTTTAATGACACAGTGTTTGGAGGTTTAAATTGTGGAAGAAACAGACATGGTGGTTTAATAGGCCATACATACATACATACATACATACATACATACATACATACATACATACATACATACATACATACATACGTATACCCACATCCACATATACACACACACACCTAACACACACACACACACACACACACACACACACACACACACACACACATCAGACAGACATACAGACACAGACATACACATGCATACATACATACACACAAACACACAAACACATATAGGGATGCGTCAGCGGCTCATAACAGCTTTAGTGAATATTAGCGAAGAAAAGGTCGACGTGGAGCAGCAGTGAAGTGTTAACTATATGAACACAACACAACACGCGACGCCGCCACTACCCCTAAGTCTGTGCCACTACCTCTGAGCCTGTGCCACTACCCTGAGCCGGTGCCACAATCCCTATGACTGTGCCACTACCCCTAAGTCCAGTGCCACACCCTGAGCCTGTGCCACTACCCCTGAGTCATTACCCCTGAGCCTGAGCCACTACCCCTGAGCCTGTGCCACTGCCTGAGCCTGAGCCACTCACTCTGAGTCTGTGCCACAATCCCTATGACTGTGCCACTACCCCTAAGTCTGTGCCACTACCCTGAGCCTGTGCCACTACCTCTGAGTCTGTGCCACTACCGAGCCGGTGCCACAATCCCTATGACTGTGCCACTACCCCTAAGTCTGTGCCACTACCCTGAGCCCACTCCCCTGAGTCATTACCCCTGAGCCTGAGCCACTACCCCTGAGCCTGAGCCACTTACCCCTGAGCCTGAGCCACTACCCTGAGCCTGAGCCACTACCCCTGAGTCTGTGCCACTACCCCTGAGCCTGTGCCAATACCCTATGACTGTGCCACTACCCCTAAGTCTGTGCCACTACCCTGAGCCTGTGCCACTACCCCTGAGCCTGTGCCTACCCCTGAGCCACACCCCTAAGACTGTGCCACTACCCCTAAGCCTCTACCCTGAGCCACTACCCTGAGCCACTACCTCTGAGCCACTGCCCTGAGCCCCACTACCCCTGAGCCTGTGCCACTACCCCTGAGTCTACCCCCTGAGCCTGAGCCACTACCTGAGCCTGAGCCACTACACCTAGGCCTGAGCCACTGCCCTGAGCCTGAGCCACTACCCCTGAGCCTGAGCCACTACCCCAGGCCTGAGCCACTGCCCTGAGCCTGAGCCACTACCCCTGAGCCTGAGCCACTCCTGAGCCTGAGCCACTACCCCTGAGCCTGAGCCACTACCCTGAGCCTGAGCCACTACCCCTGAGCCTGAGCCACACCCCTGAGCCTGGCCACTACCTGAGTCACTACCCCTGAGCCTCTACCCCTGAGCCTGAGCCACTACCCCTGAGCCATTACCCCCTGAGCCACCACTACCTGAGCCTCCCCGAGCCACTACCCCAGCCTGTGCCACTACCCCTGAGCCACTACCCCTGAGCCACTACCCCTGAGCCCTACCCCGAGCCACTACCTGGTCGTGGAGAGAAAATACTAATTATAGAAGCCCTTCAAGGTGGTGCTGTGACCGATACTGCTGCACTAAGTCAGGTAAACATTTTACTCCTCGCACAGACAGACTCACGAACGTACGGACTGTCACAAAGAAACATGGACAGACACATAAATATACGGATAACCACACGGATATACAAACAGATGCACACGGATAAAAACACAGATATACGGACAACAAACTAGATAAACCAACATGCACAAGGACGTACGAACAGATACACGGACGCAAGGACACACACACAACACATAGACGAAGGAACGGACACTTGTATTCCTAAGTCACCCTGAGAGCACAAACTATCCTCGGTGTTAAGACAATTCTGAAACATCCATTTTTCCTTTTTCGTGATTAGCCCACCCGGGCACAGGTCACTGACCCACATCAGACCAGAGAAACTGTACTACTACTACAAAAATTAAAAAAATGAGAAACAATATATGTATGTATGTTTTGTCAATAGTAAAAAAACAATTGAGACCCACAATTTTGTGTAAATGAGGCAGAAAATCAGATCAACAACCTGGGAATCATCAATTTTCTTGATGCCATATGGCAACAAGGGTCTACCATTAGACAACACATTATGCCACAATAAGTATCCCGGGTGAAATATTGAACAGATGTATATACACAAATATATATGTATATATGTACTCTCAAAATTATATTCAATTTTATACAGAGACAATATGACACAATAAACAAGGATTGACAACACTACCGAGACAACAAGTCACAGTGTTCATTCTGAAATTCATCGGACCCCCCCGCCAAGAATACTTCTTGGAGTGTGTGTGTGCCGTATTGTTGGTGTGTGTGTGGTATACCTATGTTGTGTGTGTGACTACTTGTTGTGATGTTATTGCTAAACCATAAAAATAATATTTTATACTCAGTGAAGTTCAAGTGAATATTAGGGAGCTTACCAGGCAGGCCATGAGGACAGGCACCAGGCCGAGCCATGAGGACCCAGGCACCGCCAGGCCACAGGACAGGCACCAGGCCAGGCCATAAGGACGGGCCGGGCCAGGCCATGGGACGGGCACCAGGCCAGGCCATGAAAGACGGAGCACCAGGCCAAGCCATGAGAACGGACACCAGGCCAGGCCATGAAGACGGGCACCAGGCCAGGCCATGAAGACAGGCACCAGGCCAGACCATGAAGGACAGGCACCAGGCCAGGCCATGAAGGACGGGCACCAGGCAGGCCATGAGGGACAGGCACCAGGCAGGCCGCAGGACGGAGCACCAGGCCAGGCCCAGAAGGACGGAGCACCAGGCCAGACCAGAAGGACGGAGCACAGGCCAGAACCATGAGGACGGGCACCAGGCCAGGCCATGAAGGACCCAGGGCACCCAGGCCAAGCCACGAAGGACGGGCACCAGGCCAGGCCCGAGAAGGACGGACCAGGCCAGGCCATGAAGGACAGGCACCAGGCCAGGCCATGAAGGACGGGCACAGGCCAGGCCTGAGGACAGGCACCAGGCCAGGCCATGAGACGGGCACCAGGCCAGGCCATGAAGGACCGGGCACCAGGCCAGGCCATGAAGGACGAGCAGGCCAGAGCCATGAAGGATGGGCCAGGCCAGGCCACGAAGGACGGAGCCCAGGCCAGGCCATGAGAGGACGAGCACCAGGCCAGCCCATGGACAGAGCACCAGGCCGGAAGCCACGAGGACGGGCCCAGGCCAAGCCATGAGGACGGACACCAGGCCAAGCCCATGAGGCGGGCACCAGGCCGGAGCCATGAAGACAGACACCAGGCCAGGCCATGAGGACGGACACCAGGCCAGGGCCATGAAGGACCCAGGCACCAGGACAGGCCTGAGAAGACACGGACACCACCAGGCCACGGACCGGAACCAAGCCAGCCAGAAGGACGGAGCGCCAGGACAGGCCATCAAGGACGGACACCAGGCCAGGCCATGAACGGACAGGCACCAGGCCGAACCATGAAGGACGGGCACCAGGCCAGGCCATGAAGGACGGGCCTGGGCCAGGCCATGAGGACCCAGGCACCAGGCCGGAGCCATGAAGGACGGGCGCAGGCCAGAGCCATGGAAGGGGCCGGGCAGGCTGAGCCATGAAGGACGGGCACCAGGCCCGAGCCGCGGGACGGGCACCAGGCCAGGCCATGAAGGACGGGCACCAAGGCCAGGCCATGAAGGACGGAGCACCAGGCCAGGCCATGAGAAGGACGGGCACCAGGCCGGAGCCATGAAGGACGGGCACCAGGCCAGGCCATGAAGGACCCAGGCACCAGGCCAGAGCCATGAAGGACGGGCACCAGGCCGGAGCCATGGGACGGGCTGCCAGGCCAGGCCATGAAGGACGGGCACCAGGCCAGGCCATGAAGGACGGGGCACCAGGCCAGGCCATGAAGGACGGGCACCAGGCCAGAGCCATGAAGACGGGCGCAGGCAGGCCATGAGGACGGGCGCAGGCCAGGCCATGAAGGACGGAGCACCAGGCCGAGCCATAGAAGGACGGAGCACCAGGCCAGGCCATGAAGGACCCAGGCACCAGGCCGAGCCATGAAGGACGGGCACCAGGCCAGGCCATGAAGGACGGGCACCAGGCCGGAGCCATGAAGGACGGAGGCACCAGGCCAGGCCATGAAGGTTGGGCACCAGGCCAGGCCATGAGAGGACGGGCACCAGGCCGGAGCCATGAAGGACGGGCACCAGGCCAGGCCATGAGAGGGGCGGGCTGGGCCCAGGCCATGGAAGGACGGGCACCAGGCCAGGCCATGAAGGACGGGCACCAGGCCAGGAGCCATGAAGGACGGGCACCAGGCCAGGCCATGAAGGACGGAGCACCAGGCCAGGCCATGAAGGACCCGGGCACCAGGTCAGGCCATGAAGGACGGGCACCAGGTCAGGCCATGAGGACGGGCACCAGGCCAGGCCATGAAGGACGGAGCACCAGGTCAGGCCATGAGGACAGGCACCAGGTCAGGGCCATGAAGGACGGAGCACCAGGTCAGGCCATGAAGGACGGGCACCAGGCCAGGCCCATGAGGAGATGTACACCAGGCCATCCCAAGAGAGACGGACACTAGGCTATTCCATGAGAAGACGGATGCTGGGCCATGCCATGGGGAGGCGGGCACCAGGCCAGGAAAGGCCATGAAGACGGAGCACCAGGCCAGGAAGGCCATGAAAGACGGACACCAGGCCATGAGAGACCCCAGGCACCAGGCCAGGAAGGCCATGAAGAAGACGGACACCAGGCCAGGACAGGCCATGAGAGACAGGCAGAGACTGGATAAACAAATCAAAAAATAAAGGTTAGTGAGTCACGAGGACCTTGACGTGTGACATTATGACCCAAACTGTGTAACAACTGACGTCAATACCAAGAGTGACGTCAGCACCAAAGTGACGTCAGCACCAATAGTGACGCCAGTACCAATAGTGACATCTATACTAACAGTGACGTCAGCACCAATAGTGACGCCAGTACCAATAGTGATGTCTATACTAACAGTGACGTCAGCACCAAACAGTAAACAACACACTATATGTCATACAAGCGAACCCATAAAATGGTTCTCTAATTAATATTGAAATAATACTTCATCTAATACAGACAACAATAGTTTATACAATAATATTTGAGATCATATAATATTTCCCGCTAAAGACACACAAACAACATAAACCGACATGTACCAAGGCACCAAAGGCAGATCACCACACATCACCACAACACGTGTTAACAGGAGACATTCTACCACCTCTAAAAGTCAGGAGTCAAATTACCATAAAAAGCATCAAGTGGTTGTAAACACTGCTAGATGTTAAGTGGTGGGTCATGAAATAATAACTACGTGGTGGGTCATGAAGTAATGGTGGGTCATGAGTAACTACGTGGTGGGTCATGAGATAACTACGTAATTGGGTCATGAGAACTACGTGGTGGGTCATGAGTAACATACGTGGTGGGTCATGAGTAACTACGTGTTGGGTCATAGTAACTACGTAGTGGGTTATAGTAACTATACGTAGTGGGTCATGAGAAAACTGCATGGTTGGTCATGATATTAATGGTGGGTAATGAGTAACTATACGTGGTGGGTCAAGAGTAACTACGTGGTGGGTCATAGTAACTACGTGGTGAGTAATAGTAACTACGTGGTGGGTTATGGTAACTATACGTGGTGGGTTATGAGTAACTATACGTGGTGGGTCATGAGTAACTACGTGGTGGAGTCATGAGTAACTACGTGGTGGGTCATGAATAACTATTGGGTCATGAGTAACTATACGTGGTGGTAATGGTAACCACGTAATTGGGTAACAGTAACTACATAGTGGGTCATGAGTAACTACATAGTGGAGTCATGAGTAACTATACGTGGTGGGTCATGAGTAACTACATGGTGGAGTCATAGTAACTAAGATTGGGTCATGAGTAACTACGTAATGTAACAACAATAACAACAACAATAACAACAACTACAACACCTCATCCCCAATCAATCCCCAACCAACAACAATCACCATCAAACGTAATCTAATCAAAGAAGACAAACAAATTCTGTAACCAGTCTTAGTTCTGTATTCTTGGAGCGGTTAATCTTTACCTTAATTTTGTTTCTTCGTTATTTCCACTGTAATGGCTTCTGTAATGCATTTTTTGTTGTCTAGGATACAGTAATGTGTGTCTACTGTATTCATATATAAACTATAAGTGTGTATGTGTGAGACAAAAAACATAGAAGGTGAAAAGTTATCAATTTATCCACTATCAGAGTCATTTATGGGACGGGCTGAGAGAGAGAGAGAGAGAGAGAGACTCATACAACAACAGGTCCTATTAAACACACCTGAACCTCACACACCTGAACCTCAGTGTTGTGGTGGTACAGAGGACAGTGTAACAAAGTGGTGGTACAGGGGACAGTGTAACCCAAAGTGGTGGTACAGGGACAGTGTAACCAGAAGTGGTGGTACAAGGGGAACAATGTAACCCAAAGTGGTGTTAGAAGGGAACAATGTAACCCAAAGTGGTGGTGGGAGAGAACAATGTAACCCAAAGTGGTGGTAGGAAGAGACAATGTAACCCAAGTGGTGGTACAGGGGGACAGTGTAACCCAAAGTGGTGGCAGGGGAACAATGTAACCCAAAGTGGTGAGTACAGGAGAACAGTGAACTAAAGTGGTGGTTCAGGATATGACCTTTTGATTGACCTTGTTGTGCCAAGATGACCTCCTTGACCTCCCCGTCACGGCACCACCTCAGCCCCTGTCCAGACACCCTAAAAAAAAATCCAACTGGTTTCTTCCTAGCGTCGACTATCTTAAAAAAAAGAGAGAGAGAGAGATACAATTTAGTCTAATCTAAGTACAGTAGTTCAATCACCACACACATCAGAAGTAGTGTACATCTGTAACATAACACCTCTTACGACTACGTCCCAGCTTCGATCCCAGGACGGAATTGAGACGGGAATATTCCAGTGTGACTCTACTAAACACGGCAGGTTTTCTCTGGGTATTCAGGTGTTCTCTATACTGACACTGAACAATGATGGTCGTAACACAAGACCGACAAACAGACCGACCGTGAAGTGGCTAAAATTATTAACTGAATAATAATAATAATATATTTAAAAGTCACAACACTGATTACAATTACATATGCAACATCAGTGTTATGTGAAATTAGGATACACTGTCAGGATACCTCCAAGAACTAACACAATGAAGTACAGTATTACATAATAGATGATATAATATAGCATAGGCTGGCATCGTTTTCCATCGTAAATAAAAATTTTAATTAATGCCTTCGTAAAGAAACCATCGACATGGGACCAGGTTTGTTCCACTCTACGAATTTTTTGCGATTTTTTTCCACCAAGTTTGATGAAAAACGATTTGTGCCATTTCAGCTGCCAGAACACACACACACACACACACACACACACACACACACACACACACACACACACACACACACACACACACACACACACACACACACACAGACAGACAGACAGACAGACAGACACAGCTAGTCCTATAGTATATTAGATCAGAGTATATATTGAAGGTTTATCACCGACTGTTCAGTATGGTCACAGTATCACTAACAACAGATGCCTAACCTAACCTAACCTAACCTAACCTAACCTAACCTAATGTTATTACGACTACATCACATTTGTCTGGTGCATTTTCTTGAGCCATACAGGTACCTCTTGTTATAGAATCTGTCACATGTGCTAATGCTACACCTGCCAGGTCTCTGTTAGGGGGTGCTGTATCACCTAAGTTTAATGGGTGTTGGAGGTACAGGTGTTGGAGGGAGGGAGAGATGGAGAAAGGAGGGAGAGGTGGAGAGACGGAGGAGGAGGTGGAGAGAGAGGAGGAGGGGGAGGAGGAGGGAGGGAGCGCTATCTAATAATGTCAGTGGGTGTAAAAGCCATAGCAGTATTTTCTTAATTAATAAATTGAGGGAAGGAAGTTTAACAAATGAGTTGTGTTAACGATGTAGGGGAGAAAGTGGGAGTGTAGGTGTGGGGAGAAAGTGGGGAGTGTAGGTGTGGGGGAGGGGTTGGGGTGTGTGGGTGTGGGGGAGGGTTGGGGTGTGGGTGTGGGGAGGGCTGGGGTGTGTGGGTGTGGGGGGCTGGGGTGTGGGTGTGGGGCTGGGGTGTGTGGGTGTGGGGCTGGGGTGTGTGGGTGTGGGGGGCTGGGGTGTGTAGGTGTGGGGAGGGTTGGGGTGTGTGTAGGTGTGGGGAGGGTTGGGTGTGTAGGTATGGGGGAGGGGTTGGGGTGTGTAGGTATGGGGGAGGGGTTGGGGGTGTGTAGGTATGGGGGAGGGCTGGGGTGTGTAGGTGTGGGAGGCTGGGGTGTGTAAGTGTGGGGAGGGGTGTGTAAGTGTGGGGGGAGGGCTGGGGTGTGTGCAGTGTGGGGGAGGGCTCGGGGGTGTGTACGTGTGGGGAGGGGCTGGGGTGTGTACGTGGGGAGGGGCTGGGTGTGTACGTGTGGGGGAGGGGGCTAGGGTGTGTGGGTGTGGGAGGAGGGGCTGGGTTGTGTAGGTGTGGGGGAAGGGATGGGGGGTTTTAAGTGTGGGGTGACTGGTGGGGTGTGTTGGTGTGGGGTGACTGGGGTGTGTAAGTGTAGGATGGCGATCAATTCACGATCACAACAGAGTCAACCCGATACCACACAAAGGCAACAACCCACCCAATCCCACACCTGTCCACCCATCACACCTGTCCACCCACAACACACCTGTCCACCCACCACACACCTATCAAGCCACCACACACCTGTCCACCCATCACACACCTATCAACCCACCACACCTGTTAGTCGGACACACTTTAATGAGAAGACGCAGGTGTAACCCCAATAGGAGATTAACTCAAATATTATAATTAGTTCGTGGGTCGAGTACACGTCTCACATTAGTCTGGGTGTTCGTGTTATATATACCACTAATATACATAAAATCTTGTATAGTAGATAGATTTTAATACGAAACAAAAAGAAGGAA